ATCTCAGATAAAATTTAGTCCTTCCCTCTTATCCTACAATCTGGGGCAGGTATGGTCCTCAATGCACTTTGAAAAGGCAAGACGCATTGCCTACCTGTCATAAGGATCACATGGGCCCTTGAACCCTTGTGACACGACCAACAAGCTCCAGTTTGGACAATTTTTTTAAATGCTAGCCATTTCAAACTTGAGCAGTATCAAAGGAAGAAGCTCAAGAGACGCCTAAATCTTTCCAGCATTTTTGGATTATGGAAACACACCTCATATGACAACTTCTGCCATATCATGTCTTATGGTTCAAGGTGACAAGAAGAATGCTTCCAACTTGGCAAGAGCCAAGAGCCTTTATCACTGACCAGTTCCTTCTAGAAATCGTCTGTTAGGAGCAGGAAGGGCATTAACTCATGAATCAGAACTTAGAGTTAATGCCTTCTGCTCTGAACAAATGATATCTCTTAATATGATATTACTACCATGACATACATAAAAATAAAGAGGATAATAAACTGATATTGTAGTTATAGTTTTTTCTTTCTCTAAAAGAAATCCTTCACCAGAGGCAAGTTCCTGTAGGTCTTAGATTTTATGTTATCAACAAATGAGTTAGACAGTGGTATAACGGATAAATTGTATCCTTTCGAAAAGGTGCTATTTATAAATCCAATTATTATTACTATCATTATTGTTATCAAATTTAGCCCATGTTAAACATGTTTTAATCAAACTTTGATCACTTAGTCCATGTAACAATAACCTTTGTTCCATATATTCCATCAAACCACTTAGGGGAATTATGGGAAATTAACATTTAAGACAAAGGTAACATTATCTCCTTACATCAAATTAAATTATCGGACACTTTAATAGGATTAATGAAAAGACATGACTGCACCTATATGAATAGCTTTAAGTGGCTCAAATGTTTACATTATCACATGATTCACACTACAAAATATCTTTTGAGGAATTGAAAAGGAACAAGAAAAACATAAACATGCTTTTGTACTATTAATTTTCTAATTTAAACTAACAAATTCTAATTCAAAATTCAAGAGGAAGCAGTCTTAATATACCCTAGCTCTTATAACTGAAAGCAACAATATGATAAGTGATACCCGCTGATAACAAAAAAGGTCGTCAATTAGAATTTCTCATTACAGCTTCCCTTGAGGCAAATAATTTATTAACAATTGTTTATTTTGAGTACGGAGGAAGAGTGAGAACTAGAATCTTCTAATTTCTTTTCGGAAAGGATAATGCAAGAGCAAGGTCAATGTATTATTGATTCAGGAAACTTAGTTTTAATGATGGAGTAAAGTGACAAGTTATAACCAAATAGGTATCTTCCTCTTACTGACATACATCTTATTAGTTATTTCTGTTTCTTACTCCTGCTACAAAACACGCACTTCCACTGATAAAGAGGAAAGGTAGATAAAGAGAGCAAGAAAAAGCTATTTTTGTTTCCTTTTCTTTGCCTCCTGAATAGTACAGAAGGCAATGGCCTTGCAAATGACACGCAATTTGGGAAGAAAATTAGAATTTTTTTTTTCTTGACTGCCGATAGGTGCACCAACTTCACATGAGCGCCCCAGCAATAGTGTAATCAACCTATATATGATTTTTCACAAAGACTGGGAGCTAATGATTAAGAAAAATTCCTGCTTTATGAACTCACTCTGTCAAGAAAATGGCCGAAATGAGTGAGCTGCTTATTGGTCGAAAAGTAGAATAAAGTAATGGGGTGGGTAATTGTGTTGATCATAACATTCATTTGAATGAAATGTCATTGTACTTTTTCGGAAGGGATTCAAGATAACCAGCTTTTGTTTTTTGAGCTGGGTGCAAGCCTTCCTCTCTCTTTCTCTCGTTTCCTCTCCATCAATTTGGGGGGCATGTAAAAATGATGACATTAACTTCAGACTGAGGAGTTTTTATTCATTCATGATTCTTTAGTGGGTGTCCCAGATTATGTGAATGACAAGGTACCGAGAAAGGATTCGGTGGAAGTATTCTTCAAGAGTGAATCGGTAAAAAAAAATAGATCATGATTAGATCATGAGGTAATATTTTCATTTCGGAAAGAGCTGATTGCCATTTGCATGGTCTGAGATTATAAGAAAGTTATACAAAAAAGGAGGTGGATACAGCAGAGGAGAGAGAGAGAGAGAGAGAGAGAGAGAGAGAGAGAGAGAGCTTGTTTTATGTATGAGACTGAAATTTGAATATTTTAATGATGAATGGCATACTTGACAGAATTTGAGCCACACCCCCCCCCCACCCCCCACAACAAAAATTAAAACAAACCAAAAACACACTAACAACAAATTGGTAAAGAGACCAGAGGAAATAGGCTCGATAAAGGGAGAGAGAGAGAGAGAGAGAGAGAAGGGTGGTGGGGGGGGGACTGAAAAAGGAAAAAACAAAGATAAATACAGATAGAAAGTATGAAAGCATAAGACAAAGACAAAAGGAAAAATAATAAAACAAATAAAACAGATATAAGGTACAGATCTATATTGACAGATCAACAAAAAAGTGCAAGGAATAAAGAAATATTTTGAGGATGAATGCATTTAGCAGAACGTCCTTCACACTGATACCCAGCCAAAACTGAAAGACAAGAAACCTTTTCCTTCATCATCACACAAACAACAAAATAAATATTTTGAGTATATTTTCGCCCATTCACGTTAACCCTCAACAGATCAGCTGACCACAGTGCAATGCACTCTTGTTGCCTGCCCGCAGTGGGAAATGCCCACTGAAATATCTTCCTTCCTTTCCTAATTCAGGATTTACAAACCGTTACACAGAGGAAAAAGAGGGCAGCAAACCAACGTGCTTACAAGAAAATGTCAAGAACTGTGCTGGAATCACTTCTCAAGAGGGCTTGTTTAAGCTCTGTCTTTTACAGACTTAAAAACATGTAAAGATTCTATTCAAATGTCTAAATTTTGAAGAAGATGGAAAGACTGATTTTTAATCTTACAACATTGATCCAGATGACTAGTGAAACTTTAGGTCTGAATAACTAACTGCTGACCAAGGTATATTCTTTAATGCCACATCAACAAAAGGACAATTATTTGCTTGTAGTCAGAAAGGTTCAATTCTGTTTGAAATAATTATGAGTTTAATGTCCTTTGGCTCTCAGGAGACAAAAACACTACATGACTTTTCAAAACTAATTTCTGTAGTGATTGATTGATGATAGGTTACCACATTCAATTATTATTGTCTTCTGTCTATCAAATACACAGTCTACATGTATATTCAATCTGAGAGATCTCCCTGATTCAATTGTGGTATTGTTTTATGGTGTCCTTAAAAAATGTCTTAATCTTCTTTGAAATAGGTCCAGTATTGCGATAATAAACCAAGTACATGTTTACATTTCTCTATTCATGGACTTTTATATCTTTTTTTTTGACAGGAAAGGACAGTGTGATTTTATGATATGTTGAAACAATATCCAGGTGACAAGACAGGGATCAAATAAAGTTTTGTCAACGACAGGACAACCTTTATAAATTCTTTTCTATATGACTATATGATTTGGGACATTTCCAGGATACTGACATAATATGTGATACAAAATTCAATGTTTTATTATTCAACATTCATGGCCATGGTCATCTCCATAAATAAAACCTTGGATATGACAAAATATAGTTGGATGGTACATTATTATTCAGAGATTTATGTGCAAGAAAAAATAAGACTGTTCATTTTGCACAACATGCAACAATCACAAGACCCCTCACTAAAATGAAAAATAGTGTATTTTTTAGCATAACACCCAAAGATCTACCAATGCGGTTAAGATGAGCTTTAAATTGGCAAAGATACACTGAGTCACTAAACAGATACACCCTGTGATCATTATTAGCAAACATCAGCCAAACAATAGATGAATCAACCTCAAAGTACACACAAAAACAAGAGAAAACGTAAGAATATATATTACGGAAACATCCTTTCTCTCCAATCTTAACCTTGTTTTTGGTTGAATGGGCATGTCAACAAGTTAGAGTAAATATTCAAGTCTTTTCAAATACAGTTTCAGTGGCTGACAATGGTCATGGAAGATTTATTCTCTTTTATTGATTAAAATCTATTTTTCCTTTTCTGCTGGTTAAGGAATGTCCTTCCATAAACATAGCAGTTCAAACAGTATGAGGACAGGACAATATTGAGAAATGACCCTGAAGTTTTCTAGACTCAAATAGGCTTTGTTTTAAGTTGTGGTAAAATAAATGATACTGTTGAAATTTGAAAGAATGATTAAGATTTCTTTCATGATTTGTTTTCATTGAGAAATAATTGATATTTTTCAATACTGATTTTGTTGATGAAAGCACGAGAGCACAAAATTTGACAAAATAACCCAAATTAATTGATCACAGGCACATCAACTTTATGCCCCAAAAAGTTATCAGGATATTTATGTCCACATGCAAATGACCAGCTTATATGCAATCGTACCATTTTCTACAATTTTCTCCACCCTTGGTAATAATAGAAACATCCCAAGCTAGGAAGTGGTTATGCTTTCATGGTTTTTTGTGAAAATAAATTCCGCAAACACCCACACTCTTATCTCAAGTCAATACAGCAAAACAACAAATAAACAAGCAAAGAAATGAAACCTTAGTCTTCATAATTCTTTGTCAATAAATCTAACATTAAAGTATAATCAGTTTCCGCATATTTATCTAGTACCCTTGTGTCTTCATTTGTAGAGGTGCAATTTGTCCAAACAAAGCGATAAACAGGGAAACAAACAACACATAATCAAAACAAAAATGCACAAGAAGAGGCACAAAACAATATACCATTTTTAGTATGCATTCAATTTCAGGTAAATTTTCCCAAATTTGCTCAAGGTTTCCTGAGATTGCAGCAATATGTAAACAAATGGATTGTCACAAACATAGAAAGTCATAAGCTATTGAAGAGCAAAAGACTTTGATATGGAAATGACAGAAACATCCTCAAATTTGAAGACGTTTTTAATCGCACAAAAACACACACCAAAAAGGACTTACCGTGAATTCATTGCTCTTGTTGTAGTGGAGATTGAGGGACCGGTAGAGCTCCGAATCCCTGGTCACCTTGAGATCTTCGGCGGTCTCGACATTGTCGCTGACCGACTGGCGGGCAAACTTCTCCATCTGGATGTAGTAGAACTCGCGGAAGTTGCTGAACCACTTGATGATCTGCGAGGTGTTGTGACGGTTGAACTTGACGTCGGGGAAATGCTGGCGTAAGAGGGCGGAGCTCGGGTAGCGGGTGAAGAAGAACATGAGCTTGGCCTTACGCAGGTGGGTCGGCGTCAGGGTGCAAGTGATCGAGTGCAAAGGAGTTAAGGTAAATTTATGATAATATGTACATATTAGAATTACTTGAGATTGAAAGGCAGTGATTATGGCCAATTCTTGGGATTAAAGATGCTAGACTATAATTAACCCCTTCTCTATCATTTGATAGAATGAACTACAATACATATGTGTAATACAAATATTGTTTACATTTCCATCAAGTTTTAAAAACATATTTGATTACAAGTGCTGATAAAGATATGATAAGATGTGTCTAAAAATATATAAATGAAATGAAATCAAGAATATAATTGGGGACACGGCCTTGAAAAAAACCCAGAAAAGAAATGAAGCAGTAAGATCTCTCAGCAAACCCTTTGCATTCGGTACATGCAATTCATCTTATTCCTTTCCCAGGGCCCCTAAATGAATTAAGCAAATAATTCCAAACAAAAGAGAAACCATTTATCATACATTCCAACCTTCAAAAAATTGTTAAAATCCTGCTCAGGACAGACAAATATTTTGCAAATCCGACAAAAATATGAAAGATAAGAAAAACACCCACCATCCTAATAGATAAAACACAGAGCAGATGTAGTAAAACATGACCAAGCAGAAACTATTCCTTACAAAAAGACATGGTGGATTGGTATGAAAAGAAGGCTTTTCTATTTGTGCCAGTTTGGGTGGCGAGAAATTCAAGGCCATTTTCATCCTTGGTTTCCTCCACACATTACTTGTTTACACCTTTTCTTGCACTGCTGAGCAGCCTTCGGGCAAAAAGAGAATATCTCACGCTATATACCAACTCAAAGGCAATGAATAAGATTCTTATGTTTGCTTTATGCTTCCCTTTGTGTGGAAGAATGCATGGTTTACTCTGCTTTTGGAGGAGTTTCAATTCACGAAAGTTTCTTTAAAATGTAAGACCAAGTTAAGGCACTTGGCTGGCGGAGAGCGGCAGGTAGACTTGGGAAGGAACTACAAAACAATGTTAAGCCTCATGTTGACTGTTCTTTGAGATTTACAGAGTCATGGAGATGAAAGGGAGATAAAGAACAACATAAAAGAACAGATACATTCCCACGACACGTAGAAGATTACACAGCACACAACGCTGACATGATCTTTTGTAGATGATGGTCTTTGTGCTAAATATAGAGAGACAGAAAGACAAGGAGAAAGAGAGGAAAGAGAGAGAGAGAGAGAGCAGAAAAAAAATAGAATGAGAGGAAATTAATCAGAGTGTAATGATAATGATGGAAATTTAGCGGGAATGATATGGTGGGAGCTGGAGGAGAGGTGATTTGCAGCACACAGGCCGAACAGACTTGTCGTTACTTTTCGACGCTTGCTATCAATTAGCCTAATCAGAGGGGTCATGCATGGCCTCTCACATATCCTGCATTTTTGATCATTTAATGAAGAAAAGAGCATCCTCCCCGACATCAATTTGATGAAGTCAGAAGTGAAACATTTAGAGAAGCTCAGGGGACCCCACCACATCACAAACAAGGCAGGTCTTCCTGTCGATTGTTCTCTCTTATAGTCTTGGGGCTTTCTAATCTACGAGCAAACAATAAAAAGATGATTGGATATTCAATATGGAATCCTGGAAATTTTCCTTTTCTGGGAGTATTGGGGGCGAGAGAGAGGTGGAGGAGGAGGAGGAGGAGGCTAGTGGCAGAGGGTTGAATGAGGACACCCAGGCCTGGGTAGCCATGTAGAACCGGCCGATGTCGAAGTCTCATCTAGAAAAACATGCGGCACAAAAGCAAAGTCACAAGCTGATCCTCAAGCTGTGCTTCGGCTGCAAGGTAGAGGCAACAATAAGGGTTTGAGTCTGTTACGGATGAAGCGGCTTCTTGAAAGGGACCCCTGGCAAAAGTGCAAGAACCTGGGACGAGATAAGCTAAATGAAGGCAGAGGGCTGATCTTGAATGGGCGTCGGCACTCAAGTGGAAGAAGGACGTAGTGGGAGTGAGAGCCCAATACCCCCAAAGATCAGCGACGTCTGAATAGGAATGACCACACAGGGCTCATTCTTCACCCAGTCATAAAGATTAATCGTTCTATGATAAAAACAAAATAGGACGATGAGATAGAGATATATAGACTTTAATCGATCTGGAGTTATGATGGAGATCCACCTCACAAAGGGTCTCGGTGGGAAGTCAAAACCAGCATCTAAAAGAACAATTCTATTCTATGAGAAAGAAACTAAGCAAAAGGTAGGAAAGTGGCATAATAGCTCGGGGAAAATACGGCCTTGTTACCACAAAAACAAATCAATTTTGTAACCATTGAAAGAGAATAGGACAAAACCTGGAGTCGTTTATATAGGTCTTTCTCACGTTGACAAAGCATGAGATTGAGAATCGCATCTCGCCATGGAGACAGGGGCCTTGTCTTTTGAGAAATCGGCAGAAAACGATCAATTATATCCACTTCCTCTCTATTTCATTGAGAAGAAAGAATTATCTACTTATAATTGCTTATAAAGCTGAGGTTAACTATTATCTTCTTTCTTCATGGACCTAAATCTACAATAAGTTACTTGGGTTTAAAGGTTTGATTCTTCTTGGCAAAATATTCCTTTACAGAATGGAGTACAATTAAAATCTTTAGCCAAGGATGGACTGAATAAGATTAATGCCCTATTTAAAAAGGGAAGCTTTGATTGATGATATTCTTGCAACATTGATAAAAATCAATCTTTTTGGGAGAGATATAGAAGAGAGGATTGAGAGAATAGAGAAAAGGAAATCGTGGTCAGAAGAAGTATAACAGATGATGAATCTTAAGGTTTTTGGTCAAATACAACAAATTTGATACATAAACTCAGGAAATCCTTGTCAAATGACCACAGCACTAAAGATAAAAAGAATGACAAATTTGGAATCACCACAGAACCATCAACCCTATGATGGGAAACCGGAAAATATTTATTTAATCCTTTATTTTTTTCTTCTCATTTTTTTCTTTATTTCCTTTCTCAGCTTTTCAATGATTCAAAATTTGCCCAGTTCTTTACTCATGTTTCTTACAAAGTCTGAGATGATATATGAGTTATGTTTTTTTCCTCCAAATTTCCAAGAAAACACTGTACGATGAGTTGATCTCAACCGTGAAATGTACGTCTTTGAAATCTCAATAGAATGAAAGCGAATTATTTTCAATCGGTTGCACAAAAAAGGAAAATAGGAAAGGAAATAATAAGTGGAGGCCTTGTGAAAGGTGCACCAAAAAAGGCCATTCCGCCTATTTCATTCGCCATTTCTTGGGGCAGTCTTAAAGCATAAGCAGTAGATCAGGCATACTGAAGCCTCTACATTACCCTTCATGCCTCGTAAAACAAGAAGAATTCTCAAGGAAATCGGGGGGACAAAAATGCCTTTTGAATCTTTGATGTGCATATGAACAATAATTGAGAAATACTTTGGCCCCAAATCAGACAAAAGACCTAAAAATCCTCAGCGGCCAGATAAGAAAGGACTCCTCATTTCTTTTTTTTTTGAGGTATGGCGACAAGTTCAATGGATTCAAAGACTGGCATTGAAGGAGAGTATATGAGGCGATGCCGACAAGAAAGTACAATGCCCCCTCTGACAGTCATCATCATATCAGCCAAGATTTATGAATCAATTCAAACTTTATTTCGTCAATTTCAGCTCAGTATGGTGAGACCCAATGAGCAACACATACACTTGAGAGTACGGGTAGATGGGAGGGAGGGAGGGGAAAGAGAGACAGACAAGAATAAGAGATCAAATGAGACCTGTCTGCTCAGTCTGGGATGGAAATGAAATGACACAAAGAAAGAGAGAGAGAGAGAGAGAGAGAGAGAGAGAGAGAGTTAGAGTAGAAATTTGGAACATAAAAATATGGTCTATGGGATAACACATCAAGTTTTAGGCAAACAAATCTTTAAAAATACTACATTAAAACGTTAACAGGCATAAAAAGACAAAGAAAGGAAATGATAAGATGCAAAAAAAGAACCGATATCCAAGTGTCATGAGCTAAAATTTAAAAAAAAATGACAAAAGCTAACAGATCGCTTGATATATCAATTGAATAATTTGTTATTTCACAGTATCATAACATTTTGATTTATTTATGTAACCACAAGCACCCAGTCTATAATACAAGAGATTGTGACATTTATCATCAATTCATCAACTCTAGGAATTATTTTAAAGTTATGAACCTTGAGACTTCAATTTATTATCTTGGAAGTATATGCATGAACTGAAAATAAACCTTGAGACAAAGTGCATTGTCTAATTCAGTGATCAACACAGTTCACACACAACAATGTCAAAAGCGAAAACAATCGAGTCATGCCAAGATCGAGTAGAGTGAGCTAGAGAAGCGATGATATTATTATTATACCAGTTTTCATTTCCAAGTGAGACAATGTCGCCGCCGAGGAAGATCACATGATATTGCTGTTTGGTTTCCGAGTGCTTACTTGGAGAGAGTCTTGAGAGAAACTCTGACTGGCTTGCTTGGCACGCAACTTCCTGAGTGATAGCATTACCAGAGAATAGATCCAAAACATTGATCTCAAGTGACTTCCTCTGCATGGCTGACCGTCAAGAATCTTGTCTAGAAACTCTATTTTTGGTGGTTACGTTCGGCCCGCAAGTCGTGGGAAAGGAAGGAGGAGCAATCACAATAAGAAAATGACCGCACGCATTAAATTTTTCATTGAAGAGAGAAGAAGAAAAGAGGGAAAATGATAGAGAAAGCAACAAATATGATTACCAGATGGGGCCGATTTACTGGCATTGTGTTTATTTCTTGTAGAAACTGTTGACATTAAGCTTCATCACGGCTGCTTGAAATAATTTGGGGCAGTAATTACCATCAGGTGATTATTTCTATTATCTTCTAACCGAATAGGAATAGGATTTTTGGCTGATAAGGACTTTCTTTTCTTTTTCCGGATAAAATGTGTCACATGCTAACCTGATAAAAGAATTCTTACAATGACTTTACATTTTGTTTGTACTTTTGATGTCAACTGAAGACGAACTACATGAACCATAAGAATAAAAGGAAAATGAAAAAGTAACAATGAAAACATTTTCTTTGGAGGGGTGTCATTATCACAAAAACTCATATCGTATTTTGTGGCTTTGCTTTATCCTAATATCATCATTGAAAGGGGTATTCAGCGGTTCTTTGTCATCCTTACAGCAAATTATACAAGTTTGCAATATTTATTAAGAAATAACTTTATATTTTCACAAATTCAAACAAATAGGAATTGTGTTCGCTTTGCTATCATTTCATTAACTAGAACTTGAAGAAAAAAAACCCAAACAAGAAAAAATAACAAAATTACGGATACATTATACAAGAGTAAGTTGGATAATTTTTTTTATATCAAAACATGAAAAATTATTATATGTTTAAATGAAATATATATGGAAAGGATATTGTTCCGTTGACCGGCGAGTAGTCAGAGAGATCGGCCGAGCTGGGCCTGTCGTGCATGTGAAGCGGTGAGGTGTCTCGTCCCTCTGGCTTGACCATGGAGTAGGCAGGACTCTCCCCAGAAGAGATGTGGGAGAGGTCACCAGGAGAGGACCGGTGGTCACTCAGGTAGTTCAGGGGCGAGAGATGGGAGTTGGCGATGAGAGGACTTCCTGGGTACCTGTTAGGGGGTGATAAAACGGGTGGATAAAAGAATTATTGAGTAGGATTATTGGTAGAAAATCTACATGTTCAATGATGTCTTTAGGTAGAAAACAGAGAGGAGAAAATGGGAGTTAATTAAGAGAGGAGAGAGAGAGAAGAGAGAGAGGAGCAAGAGAGAAAGAGAGAGAGAGAGAGAGAGACAGAGACAGAGACAGAGAGATAGAGAGAGAGAGAGATGGGAAAGCATTCGAAGCATACAGGTATATGAAATCATATCAAGAAAGTACAAAATACATATTCATGTATCATATGGCATGTCTTGTGTCTTGAAAAAGGAAGAAAGAAAACCTAAGGGGGAACCCAACAGTACGTTCTTAAGTTCAATGAACAAGGAAATGATGATCAATTCTGATGCGATAAAGTGTCACCTTTCAAAAGAACTTTCTTGCATCCAGATACTTGCGTTACCTTGAACTATATACCATGGTACTTGACTCCAGGTTGTGTATGATTTATTGCGATGGGAAAGGAAAAGATAAATATCGCTGCCAAGTGTTTTTCAACTCATGAAATGCTATTACCGATGGACGATATGAAATATTCATATAACCATATACTTCCAGATGAATTCAAAAGGAAATAAGGAACATCACTCATAAACTACTAACACAGGTGAGCATATTGCTGAAGATGGGTTATAAATATGTCATCGCATAAAAGAGACAAAATGGGGAGTCTGCCTGCAAATGAATGATCTTCCAAACAATGCCGGCTGCAGATGGGATCATGGACAACAATAATAGATCCCTTCTCTTTCTAACACATCAAATCCATCAAAAAAGAACCCAAACGGAAGAAAGGAAAGTGAAAGAAAAAGCAGGACTCTGTACAGATTTCCTGAGAAGATGTTTTCGCAACGTCAGACTGAAAAGCCCCTACGGCGGTTCTTCGCACGCCAACTTGTGATATCCTGTATGAGCATCCTAAGAGATATGTTTGCTTGCTTGCGGACCAGGTGAAAGACTATGGTAAGGGGACAAATTGTCTTAATCTTCTTTAAAAAAGCCAGGAAGGATGCAACCTACACATAAGAGACCATTGTACATAGTGAGAATCAGGGCAGGAGCTGAAAGCCAAAAGCAGAAGGAGAAAGAGAACAAGAAGAAAGGCGAGGACGCTGGGGTGTGATTATGCCATCCATTCAGGTGTCATTATACAAGTCATGGCATTACTGGATCTATGTTTTGCAAACATATGCCGTTCATCGCACCCTATCTATGTCAGGTCATTTTTTATTTTCAAGACTTCAGTTTCATGTTATTTCTATTCCCCCATAAAAATCAATACATGTATGTGTGCACATTATACAGGAAATCTATACTGGTAGTTTATCTGGCCTTCTATTCCACCACTGCAAAAAGTACTTTCTAGATAAGCTATACATTTGCAACGCTAACATTAATATTTAAAACATGAAATTTACATATGACTCACTGAATTTCTCTCTCTTCCATCTAGGATAGCACTTTAGATGACAGATATGACATAAGATATGGGAGAGTATGTCTGAAAAACTGTAAATCATCTTTGCTACTTGAGAAAAGCACAGAACTAAGACGTAAGATTTTGACCTAATCCAAAGTAATCTTGGAGTGCGTGGGAACATGAGATAATATGAGACATCGGTACACATGCTCAAGCTGTACATATATAGGAAAGCTTGTAATACTTTCTCCTAATCTCTCTCCCCTAATGCCTGCGATGAAACTTCGCATTTTGGAAGGAATTTTGTTTTAATCACACTTAGAGTAGCCAAGTCATGGCAGAGCATTTTTTGTTCCTGTTTGGGGATTCCTGACAACCGTCATGATATTAGAATTACTTGAGATTGAAAGGTAGTGATTATGGGCAATTCTTAGGATTAAAGATGCAAACATTAATTCCATTTTATCTTCATTGGAATTACTCAGATTTCCACACAATCTAGAAAGCAAGGTACCGGTAAAGTGGTTAAGCTTAAAAACCCAAACGTGCGCACTAATGAGGACAATTTTCAGATCTGGAGATTGTTTAAAGAGAGACTCAAAGCATCTTTTTATCCTGCAAGATTGTTGGTGCATGCTTGCTTGGTAATGCAGGCAATCATGACTAAATCAGAACCTGATGGGGTAGTCTGTAATTTCTGATGACTTAATTGCTCACTCATTTCAGGCAAGTCACATAAAAAATGAAAATAAGAAGCCAACTAGTTGGGACTTGGATTCATTTACAAGAATGCACTTTTTAGGGTCATAGCGACATGCAGATACTCTGTTTTTGAGGATAGGAATAATTGATGTCACTTTCCTCCCCATCTTTTATCCTTTTTTCTTCATTTTTGTAGGAGCAAGTAGCTCAACAAGTAAACTTAACTGACAAATACAATGAAGTACTTCCTATACTAATGAAATACTGCACAGGGAATTCCTTTTGTATTTGACAGGCGGAGATAAATCCTGCGTAAGTCGGTGATTCAACTGCAAAATGATTGACGCTGTTTGCGAGGCGGGCTCAAAATAGAGCAGAAAAAAAATGAGAAGCTCCGATGAAAGTTGAGCTGTCTGCACTAAGATTGGCTGATCCACGGAAAAGTCTTGGCAAGATTCTCGGATTAGGAGACATCGTGACAATTAAGAAATGAATGCGTCTTGTAAACCTCAAAATATGCTCTTTTCAATTTTATTCTGTTGGCCTTCTGCATGCAGGATGTGGTGAACTTAAATGATTTTTGGATAAATGCTTTTCTGATCATCTCTAGGAGCCAAAACAGACTGAGATTTCAATTGAAATACAAGAATGAATTTGATAAAAGAACTGGAAATGGTCTATTAAAGGATTACTGTCTGGTGAAACAAGATTTATAGTACTTCAACTGAGATATTATTCACCTATTCATCTTATTTTGATGTTTCAACACCCAAAGCTGTTTTTAAAGGCCTACTAATGACATAACGCACCAATTAACCTCAAAATGAAATTCTCTACATGGAAATTTGGGCTGCCAGCACTAAAAGGAAATTTTAATCTTCTGCAAATTGAATGCATGAATGATTGATTCTATTTTCCTTCTAATAGGGATAATAAATATTTGTCCACTTCAGTCAATAAAGGAGAAGAATTTGCCAAATATCTCTTTTTTCTTTGTTCCACATGATGATAAATCAACCGGAACATTAAGGGGAAAGAAAAGGTAAAAAAGCCCTCACCACATATTTTGATGGTTTCTAATTCTTGCCCAAACAGGAGATGGGTCACACATACTGCACATCCAAATAAACAGAATCACAAGAACGTAATTCAGTGAATCATCACTCTGCCCACTGAACTTGAAGTTTGCAAATATTTTTGTATCAACCCTTTATGCCACATTTGTACAATCTTTTATGACCAGAGAAGATCAGGCTTTGTTTTAATAATGCTTCTCTTTTTTTTTTTTTTTTTTTACATCAGGAGAGCTTGTGTCATGTTTTTCAGCTGGCTAACATTTCACACTTTGAATGGATAGTGAAATGTTACTAAAATGAATGAAGTCATTGACAGAATGAATGGTAAATTGCTTAATCAAGTCTAGTATCTATCATAATTTCAAAGATATTGGTAAATAAAAAAGAAAACCCGCTTCCTTTTGTAAACTCTGTATATTCAAGAATCATAACGGAAATTGAAACAATCTCTACAATCATCCGTCTTTGACTTGATGCCTCCCACTGTGGAAGTATTTAAGACTAGACCTCATTCTACAGAAAAGAACGAGCAAACAAGCCCAACGATTACTCCTATGACAAAATAAGAGGATAAATACCTCAAATAAATGACTAGAAATCATCATTAAACACTTGGGTTGGTATGAATAAGGATAGATGAATAAACACACTTCCCAAATTCCCATGCAGTGAGTGATAATGAGGAATGATATCCTATTTCTATTGAGCCAGAAAAGAATATTTAAAATGAAGTTGCATCTCCTCTATTTACAATTTTTGATAGCTTAACAGCTGGCATCGTTGTGAATTAAAGGATAAGTACTGCTTTATGTAAGCCCACGACTTAAATAATATCATGAAATGCTTACTACAGGCCCATTTGTCAAAAATCAATTTGTAAAAAACATTTTTTTTTTTCGGTAGAGAAGTAAAAACATGCAGAGTAAATGCTGATGATAACCGTTAAAGTATATGAGAAAATTGAGAATTCACATTGTCTACAGTCCATAGGAAAGGAAATAGAATATTAATCTTAATTTTTTTTTATGGAATCAACAGTTTTGCTAAAAACTATTGATGTCTATTGATACCAAAATTATAATTCCCTGAACAATTATCACACAAATAAATATCACTGAATATACTTGCATTTTGAAATACATCATGTCACCCTTCTTACATACACACACACACACTAATTATTAATACAATTGTCTTAGTAATAATATAGCCCTACTAAAAATGAAGGTGTATTAAAACTTTTTGGGGGAAGAAAAATGTTACTTTTAAACCATACATGTCTTATACTTGAAATCCTACGTTTGAGTTAATCACCCTTTGGGCCATTATCTGTATCATTATTAGTAAACATATGGAAGAGACAGGTCTATAAATCATGGCGGTATTGAGAGCGTTAACGAACAAGATGACGGGCTGGAATAAGAGAGTTTTCTTGTTTAGGGTTGGACTTGTTTTTCTCTTGTGAAACGGTAGCGGATTGCAAATAAACAGGTGGTGAGGCGGAGTGATATCCATCATACTTAGTCAAAGATAAGTGCGGAAGAACTTGTTAATAATGAATAATGCATGGAAATTTTTTTAAGTATTGACAATATAAAGGATATTCAGAAGAATGAATCAAAAATCACATTGACTGGTTATAATTTTTCAAGAATTATGTGGCATTTTCATTTCAACAAGATTACACTTTTATGAGCTGCTTCATGTATCGTAAACATCTTTTGACGGTATGTGCACTTTTGGAAGATGTACATGTAACAGGGGAATTTTAAGAACTGATATTGAAGACGATACATAATGCATGTTTTTACACTGTCATCGATTAATTAATTACTCACTCACATGATATTCAGAGTCTTTTTTTTTCCTACCTTTTTTTGAAGTATGAGAAATATGCATATCAATATCATGGAGGCTTGTACCGGTACTAGTATGAAATTCAATATTGTTCATTTATAACTCCCTACAGCTTAAAATTTCAAATAGCGCAATCAATTTACATCTGCTGTATGTGCATGCAGTAATTGGGACTTCCAAATGCAACAAATGATTTCATTCAAAGTTCTTTTCTTCCAATTTTTTTACATGTTCAATCATTATTTTTTATTCATGGTTTATCAATTTTTTGGCCCCTGTGATTTCCCCCTACGATATTGTCCTGCATATTAAATCATGATATATAAATAATTAGTGATAATGAAATGTTGGAAAAAAGAAGAATTTATTCTTACATATACCTGAGGCTTTCAAAATGGTCCCTTGGATCAGTCATGTTGGGGGTCATGAAGCTAGCAGCCAGAGTAGGGTGAAGACTGGGGTTGGGGATGGCTACCGAGGTGGGTAAGCTCACCGGTAGAAGAGGCTCTGGTTTCATGGGGAAATCCCCGGGGTGGAAGCCACCGCTGGCATGGAAATGCCGGTGGTCGTTACTCCTCACCCTCTTTCTGCTAGGGACCACCAATGACATTGCCTCTGTCTGCTGCTGCTCCAGCGGTGTAGGGAAATGCCTCATGAAGAAGCTTGGGTGGATGAGGGTTGGAGGGGGAGGTGTTGGCTTGCACTCCTGGGCTGCTGGGGCAGGAGGGCTAGCAGCATTCTGGGCTAGTACTGGATTTCTGGCCTGGTTACTATTGATTTCAGACTTAGTATGGGTTGAGTTGTTGTTACTTGCATTTTTGCTGCTGCCGCTTTTCGTTAGTTTATTCATCACAGAGTCTACTGCATTGAGCAGGAGAGGTGGCAGCTCTTCTTTCAGTGTTTGTCTCACAATATAACTTGTTGTGCGATCAATTAGAACGCTACTTCCATCTGCTCTCCGTTTCCTATCATTGCGATGGCGAACTGGTGAGCTGTTTCCACTGACCCCATTCACCTCATATTTCTGAATTGCACTACCTGTGTCAATCGGTTCATTTAAATCATCCATGTCATCAGAGTTGTCCGATAGATTTCCATCATCTTCTATATCATACATGTTGAGGTATTTCTCCTGAAGTGTGTCCAGCTGCGTTTGAAGATGCGATAGGATCCCTTTGAGCTTAGTTTTTTCTTGTTTGCGGGAAGGTTTGCTTGGGGAGTCTTCATCTCCGGAGTCCCAGCGCTGGGGTTGTGGTTGGTATTGCTTGCGCTTTGGTTTGCGCAGACTGTCTTCCAACCCCACAGGGTCCTGGGCTCCGACTGCTGGTGGTGAATGCCTCATGCTGGTGATGATGTTTTCTACTCGGGCACGCTTGGCTTTGAGACTGTCTGTGATGGTTTCTTGAATTGGACTGGTTGATCCGTTACACTCTTCCCACATTGCGGTTTCTGCAGTGGGCATGGCTGTGGAATCTCCACTCTCACTGGGTACCTTGGCGCACTCCAACTTTCTATCTTGCCAATATCCACTAGGTTCAATATCTGCGCTCTCCGCAATATCTTCTTCCGAATAAAGCAAACTGCTGCGATCCTCCGCCACTCTGTCCTGCGCAAATGAATCTTGTGATTCTGTATCGCTGCACAAACCGACGGACTTGGCAGGACTGCTCCGATTCAAATTTAACAAGTTTCTCAAAACTTCAGAGTTGTGTTCGACATTTTCCTGGAACACACCGTTGATGCTGGCAAAGCTGTTGACTTTTGTGTGAGGATTGCCCCTGGGTAGACCCTGATCAGCTCGATGTCGCTTTACTTGGCGACTGGATGCATCCTCGACCTTAGACATTGGCTTGCCAAACAACGTCAATGTCTCCTTGACTGTGCACAACTATGCTACACTGAAGCTCTTGACTGGTCCAACGTCTCTGCAGTTGGAAAGGGAGGTGTGAGTAAATTCCGTCAGCTGACAGCTAGAACTTCACTCGGCCGCAAATCACTCACTGTGTGAGGAGAGAGAGAGAGAAAACACCGGTTATAAATAGGCTAACAATACCGCATTCTACCTGATAGGCAAGTATACGCATTCATAATCAACGAGCAGATTTAAGTACCAGATGCACTTTTTTTCAGGGGCATGCAGGCAGGGAGGAAGTGAGAGCCCGGTAACACACGTCTTACCCAGATGGCTTCTTACTTCTTTATGCCTGCCACCAGCAAGTCTCGCAGAAAGATCGTTGGCTCGCGATCTTCAGCCAATTGTTTTCACCATAACCATGATACTTACTTCCTCTTTCCCTGGTATCCCGTACACAACCAAGGAGATTGGATTGTGGGAAATGAGGCGCTGAAGACCAAGATAAGGCCTACTTTACTATATCCGACTTCGCTAACCATCCACTACTGGCAACCAAAACCAAAAAGATATCTAGCATAATACTCATTTAACCCTCCTGAATGAACTATTTCAGATTTCTCTGCACAACTCATTGGGGGTTAAAGTACTTTCTAGCATAGCAGCAAGGACACATTAAGACCCTGCTTAGTACTCATTTTGCTACAGAGTTGCTACTTCCTAAATACAATTGCAGATTACGTTTCCTCTTCAGCATGATGTCACTAGTTGATATTGTGGTTTTTTTTTCCTTTCTTATTCTTTTCACGGGATCACTACTTTAGTTAGAGAAACAAAGACGGTTATCATAGGCGACTTTGTGTCTGGGAATTTTCCAAAGCAGCCTATTGCCTTTTGTAGATATCTAGTAAAAGTACAAGCTAAGGAAAAGGGCTGTATCCTTATCAGAATGGATAAACATAAACATTGATCAATCTGGCAAGGACCAATAGTTACCTTTCTTCTTTCTTTCTTTTCTTTTCTTTTTCTTTTTCTTTTACCACGAATAATGGTTTCATAACACTTCGTTTTGCATCCTGTAGCTTCAAATTTAAAAAGTGCATACCAAGTTCATGAGTTTTTATAAAGTAAATGGATCAATACTGAACTGCTTCAATAATCACAATATTATTTTAAGGATACAAGTTCTCTACAAAAGTACTTGAAATGAATTTATGTTCTCAAAGAGTAAACAATTTTTCAAAATTCACTTTTTCTTTTTCAATGCCTTCTTTGTAAATACCATTTTCTAGACATGTGCTTAGACTCTGGCCTTCATGAATTACAACAACAAAAAAGTATTTACATGGAACTATTCCATCAAAGAGTATTGCTATTTATTAAGGGTATCAATAAAACCAGTGGACAAATCTAATGACCCTATATTACACTGTGGATGTCTGGAAGAAGGCTTGGTTCTTTTGTGCGCTAATTCTTATGCCCTTGTCAAACAATAGTGATCTCAAAGCTTTCCCATTGACCAGTAGCCCTGGCCCGAGATGACCGACCGACCATCTGTGTGGTGATTAAACCCTTACAACATAAAAGATGGAAGTGTGGCCATTTATTTATACAGAAGGGATATTTATGTTTGTCCAGCTTCATTCTAAGAGTTTACAAAACTTGTTTTCTTCTTATCCTTCTTTCTCAAGTAGTATCAAGAAAATGAATAATTTATCTAATTATTTCTATTCTCAAAGAATATAAGCATGTACATTGTAAAGGAATACTTTATGTCTGCTTTCAAGGCAATATCTATAAAAAAAAATGTTAACAAATCTTTATTTTCTTTTATTTACTGCATTCTTTGTTGCACAGCTTCTTGCTGAATTCATTCAATCACTATAATCTCCCCCTCTGATTTTGTGTGAATTGAATTGCAGTCTTTTGCTGTTTCTCTGAAGCAACAAACACTTCATATATTTAATTCAAGCTACATTCCTTTTAAAACTTTTAAGCATGCACTTCCTTTGGTTTCCCTGTTTCTAAACTTTGTTTTAATGTAGGAGAAATAACACAGTAAAAGTACTGTGCTCTTTTACTTTGTGTTTTATTCTACATAAAGATAAGAGACATTTCCTGCACAGATTTATAAATCCCCTAAACAGACAATATTTTCTTAAGGAATTCACTTTGTGATTAGATTATCCTTAAAATTACCTTCCAAGAACATAATCAAAATAGCTTTAGGTTTGCTTTCCAACACTCTAAATACAAAATTGATTATCTACAAACCTCTTTCATTTGATATCCTTGCCAAAAATATGAATGAATACAATGATTTTAGTAACCCTACAGATCTACTTTTACCTTGAAATTTATTTGGACACAGTGTGCCAAAAAACTGAAGTTTGACATGAAAATGACCTGGAATTATGTCAAAAATAAACATTTGATTTGAAGTGAACTAATTTTAACATGGTGTTATCAAAAACCTAAAATTGTGATTATGTTGTTCTATTAGGGCAAAAACAATGCCTGACACTGATAGTCACATTATTTTTTTAACATTATATTTACAAGTATGTTACTGTCTGGATATGGTTTAAAAAGAAATAAAAACATAGCAGATGTAAACAAATTCAATGGTAGGCTTACTATAGTGAAACAATAAATTTCATCCTTTATTCAAATCTCCCATTTCAATAACTAAAATGAAGCTTGAATTTTTCACCTTTCTTGACTCAAAGTTTTTTTTTTTTTTTTTTTATCTTTTCATAACTTTTTTGAACAGTATTCACTGCAATTTGTTAAAAATAATTACACTCATATTTGTGTTGGTTTACCCTTGAAAAGCATATGCTGCTTGCAAACATTATAAATGCATAACGAAAATAAGACATCCATCATTACACAAACATTCAAACAATAGAAAAATCAATTTTTAGAGTCATTTAGGATGTCTCATAATAAATGCATGAATGGATGCTGAATCCATTATTTCACATAATGTCAGTCTTACAAAAATCAAGTCATTCACCGGCACCTCTGATTTTACTGTGCAAACACATCATAATATATAATATAATATAATAATATTTAGGCATCAAAGCCTACCAATTGTTACTTTGAATAGTGCATTAGTGTCTTCTCAGTCAATTAATTATGTGAAATGGTGCAAAACTACTGTAAAAATCTCTCTTTACACTATTATTACATTTGATACTTCTCTCTTTATTTAAAAACAAACAAGCCGTTGTCTTAGTTAAAGAAAACAACTAATAAAGTCAGTTGAATACATTGTAAAATCCATATAAACGTGGAATCGCCTTGGAAGGATATGAAAGTAACACATGTCTGAGGAGATCTGGAGATAATGATTTGTGATCACCTGAGTCTCCATTCCCAATATAGATCAGATCCTTCCAGCCACCGGGAGGGTCTTCCAAGGGGGCAAGCTTAACATCTTAAAGTTGTCAAGGGGCAAACTGGACATATAGTTTCTTGACAATGCTCGCCGCCACGCCAGACCTTGACAGGATTTGTCTATCAGCAAAACAAAGACACAGCCCTTGCCTTGAGAAACAAGGAGAGGATCAGAGAGCAGGGAGGGCTGGCTTATCTTATCCAACAAGACTTTGGGGGCTGGGAGAGGTGATAGACCAAGGGTTTTAAAAGAAATCTTCAGGTACTGAATTAACGAGGAAGACAAGGAAATACAAGTTGGATCTTCAAATGCACATCTTGCAACTTCTCTTATCTTATCTCCTGTCAGCAGTTCCTGACCTAGACTCTAACAAGGAAGGAGATTAGGCTTTACAAAACTCAAGAGGATTTTTCAAAGAAGGAACTACCAAGGCTGTGACTGCTGCTGCCGGAAGAAGGACTTATAAGGAAAAGAAACATCTGATCAGATAACCCAAGATGTGCCTTGTTACATAATGGATGTGCCATGAGGAAAGAGAGAAAGGAAATGAAACAGCCTATACCAGGAATGAACATGTGAAATATTGGAGCTGGCTCCTTTCAGTTTCAATAAACTCCACCCCCAAGAAGTCACCTCAAGCAAGCAAAGAGCGAGTGCTTTATTTACCAAGCAAAAAGAGCTGTTTCTTCTAAGATGAAGGCATGACTCTGTCAACAGTCAATATATAAATTCTCCCTGCAAACATACTTTTATCAATCTTCGGTCCAGAAAGGGGAGTTTGAACAAATAGTAAAGGTTGAAGCTAAGAAGCTCAAACACATGTTCCTTAAATTGATCTCAAGATATTCGACAAGTTGTTGAGAAGTAATAATGGGTATACAATCTGAATGCAGCTAGACCTTAGCGTTGACCTTTTTGAGGTAAAGTCTGCATTTAATATCCATCATTCATCTATGTACATTGATATAAAGAAGAGATTTACATCATCACTTGACATTTTATGGATATAGAGGGTGGGAATATGAGACAGAAATAGATGTCTGAGTGACGATGGATTTTAGTTTTTTTTTATTGCACGAGACATACATGTAGAACACACAATCTTTTAAGTCTGGTTTACAGAAAACATATGAATAATTGAAAAGTAAATTAGTCTGAATAATAATGAATCCCATAATAACACAAATGAGAACAGAAGTAATTCTAAATCCCTATTTCTGCATCTACAATTAATTCAAATAAGAAAAGACAGTCACCATTGGCAATTATTCAAATGATTGATATAATATATAAATAGCAAATTCAAAGGAGTTGGATCGAGTTACCACTAATATAATTGATATCATTTCATTTATTTTTATTTAACATACTAGCTCACATCCAACATGTACCAGTTCCTAATTCATTTATCTCAATCATATTTTCACAAGACAACAAAATCAATAACTTAATGTTTCCCTTTAAAAAAGGGAAAAAAGCCATGAAAGGTAAGATGTTCAGTAAAATATAAGTTTTTGTGAAAGCAATAAATCAAAGTAAATGTTTTTTTTCTTCATTAAAATGGTATATAAATGGTGTAAACTGATTTCTAACAATTATATCTACATTATAAATCAAAGAGATGCCTTGGAAAAATGCAGGTATCTATCTACAAACTATGATATATGCTTATTTCAATAAAGAATTATGTAGAAACTAATTTCATTTTTATGGTTTACCCTTTTCTTTTTCTAGTTGCAGAAGAATGGCAGAAATTAAAAATTAAGCTATTGTTACTGGTAGAATCAATGTCTCACACAAGATTGGTTTTCAGTTTTCTTTGCATCCAGACAATAGATTTGTGGAGCATCCACTTCAAGGCTCTGGTAGCTTTATCACGGGGTGGTGCGGATGTAAGTTTCAAGGAAGTATGGTGTATCTTTTACCACTTTACAGGAAACATCAAAACACAGAACCCTTACCTATTAAAACACTGCACAAGGTTGTATCTTAGAGATAGCAGCATAAAGACTGACATCTATAAATCATGTTCTTAAAAACCTCCACTTGTAATCTTGCATTACAGGGTAAAATGACCAGCATATTCTTTGACTGGTGTTCTCTTTCTCAAGAAAGACATGAAAGCGCAGACCTCTTCTAAAGCAGACAAGGAATCAGATTTAGGTACTTCTGGCATTGCCGAAGTCACATGACATCATTAATCGTGCTGATTTATTGATGAATATATTATTTAAGTACTGGTAGTAAAATAAAGTTTAGCATACCATCTTTGCTTAATAGGCAGTGTAACTGCTCCACATATCATCTGTAATTTTCCTTTAAGATTGGGATTACAAATGAAATATCAGTACTATCTAATCATAACAATTGTCCTTACATTTTTATGGAAGGATGATATACGAACACAAAACAAAAAAGAAAAGACATTCATACATACCCCATCAACTCCAGTCAATTGAAAAAAATATATTTGATCCACAAGATGAAAACAATTTCACCAAAAGAGACTTTGAAGTTTGAATGCTAGCTATTATTGTTATATTGATAGATACTGGAAGAAAGGAGAAAGCAGATTATCCAATGAAAGAGTGACAGACTAAAATACAAGTCACTTTCTGAGTAGCAACAATTGGAGAGCAAACTTCAGAGCTCTGTCCTCGGGGAAGCTACCGGGAGCTGACAAAGCTAGCTGCCTAGACTGTTGAGAGAGAGAGTGCGAGAGTGAGCTTACAATTCACCAGCAATCGATACACTGCCGCCGCCGCCGCCGTCATCGCCAGTAACCTGTGGCACCCGAGCCTGGCTGTGGGAGGGGCATGGATGGGCTTTATGGTTGCTAGATAGAGCAGCTAGGAGGGGGAAAAAAAGAGACTCACCGGCTGACTTGAAGCTCCTTGCAATGGTCTATCCCTCGTTGGCTAAAATCTCTATCAACAGGAAGTCTACGAGGCTAAGTCATCCAATTCATAGAAACAGGAACTTGAGTGATAACCACCTCTGAATAGAAGTGAAATGTACTAAAGCAGCAAATCAGTCACAATGCGATAGATATGCAGCAGCCTTGATCTCAGTGATGATATTTCGGGTAACTTGATATGTTACACACCATGCAGGGCTTTATAGAGTTTGTTTGTGTGCAAAACAGGAATTAGGTGATTGCGTGAGAAATTTGATTCTAATACCTGGGCTGAGCAGCCTGGGTATATACAGTGAAGTACAGACGGAGTAGCTGGAAAACCAATACCCTCACAACAATGGGAAGAAACCGAGCGTGCCGTCTGAGGTATTGTTATAGATACCATGAAGGGGCGGAGCTAGTGGAGGCATGGGAGCTGTGGATACTGATAAGCCCGGAGGGGGAAAGGGGCGGGAGTTGTCCAGTACTACTCCATACAAGCATTGCCCTCATCTTGTAACAAGTGGCTGGCTGATGCATGCATGGTCACATGACCTTGTTGCCCATTTTCTTCCACTCCATGATAGATATTCTCCTTTGCTTTGGCAAACAAGGAAGACTTGAACTTTGAGCTA